GCACAGGGTACATTCAAGTACTCAATGAGTACAATCCAAACCAACAAAAAAAAGTTAGATTTTTCAAACTTCGATGCCAACTTCACATAGCTATCTTCGACCCGTATTTCTCATATTCTTGCGAAATCTCTCTCCAATGGGGGGCCCAGCCACATCAATGAGCGTGTGTATTCGCTCCATTAATTGATGTATCTCGGTCATGTTCACCTCATTCTAGGAATAGTTTGTATCAATCATTTCGAATTTATGAGGGATTCAATCAGCATTACGAAGGGGTAAATCATCCAGTCTGATTGTTGATTATTCATAGGTGGGCAAGAGTGCTAGTCTCAGGGAAATTTTCAGTTTAACCAATGTCATTGATCATTTGTTCCACCTTAATAATCAAGGCATCCGAATAATTATATTATCTTTTTCCAGTCGTTGTATTTTTAATTATTCATTAACAATATTTATTTTATTCAAAGCCACTTGCTCTTTCCTCCATGTTTTTGTTCAATTTCGGAGATACACGTAATGTTACCTGAAAAGAAGTGAAAATTGCAATCCAGTTTGCCAACAATGTGAATCAACGAAATACAAATTGATTTATTGAGTGAAATAATTTATTGGAGAATGTATTGGGCGCCGGACTGGTCGGTCAGTATTTTTCTTAATCTTTTCGAGATTTTTTTCAGGCATTTCTTAATTTAAAAAAAATGCCATATTGTCGTCATTTAATGGCGAGAAAATCCTACGCGGCGCGCACCCAGGGTCGACCCACGCGACTCCACGAACTCGTTTAACCCACCTTCGGCCTCGTCCCGCAACCCGCCGTGTGGGTATCCCTTTTGCATTCACTCATTTTTTTTTATTTATTTCTCTCTTATTCTCTACTACCATTGGCTCTCTCTCCTACCATGCAGCTCACGTACGTATATATGTATTTTTTTTCTCCCGTCATTCGGTTACGATTTTGCCTCACACCAGTTAGAGCCTCTCCGTCAGTTTCATTCGGGCAATCGTGTCACTTGGTTACGCCTCGTACCATCATTTTTATATACATGTTCTCCAGCTGTTTTTTACTCTCGATAGTTGAGGGAGATTATAGCCGATAGAATTCGAGGGAGTTTGTCAGTGTACATGAAACTCGTGTTTATTGAGAGTCATACGATGTAAGCTAGTGACGATAACACAGCACCAGACAGTGTGTCGTGTAGGTTGATGTCATCCTCGTTCCTCTTTCCCTGGAGTCGATGTAACTTAGTCTTGAACGATAAGAACTCATTCCACTGTAGAATTTGAGCCACAGAGATAACGAATAACTGCGGGAAAATCAGAGAAGATTGAGACTTGGTGGATGAGGAAAATTTTTTAAACTCGAATTCACTTGTAATTCTCCAGAAATTCTTGGAGCTCTACTCCAATTATTTCGAAAAATCAGCGCCGCTATCTTGACATTAGCATTTCTCCTCTCTCCAAGCGAGATTTATCAGTCTCAGTGGGACGATTAATGCAACAACCACCGGAGAACACAGGAGAAATTACTTTTTTTTTTATTTTGTCTTTGGGAAGTGGAAGAAGAAAAAAAAATTTGATTCTGGATAAAAGTCGCCCACGTCCCCTTGCGTCGATAGATCGTGATCCACGACGTTGATTTCTCCGGTGTCGTGGAGGAAAGAGAGAGAAAGAGAGAGAGAGAGAGAGAGAGAGATAGGACCTGAGTATAAGGTAGACTCCGGATAAGGAGTGAAGTCGAGAGATGGCCATCACCGCTGTAGCAAGTTGCCTTGGACCCCCTCCACTGCCACCGGGCAAGCGTTTTCTCCAGAGATCCAAAAAGCTATCCTCAACTTACCTGAGCTTTCGTGATCCAGCTATCGAGGCTGGTATATCAACGCTGAATGAAACAATTCCACGTTATGCTGTCATCAAACCACTCCCACCTAGGCCAAGATCCAGGGCCTCCTATGCCGCAAATAACGATGAATTTAATTTCACGAAGAAAGCCAATTTGTTTCGGAGTCAATCAGAGGGAGATTTGTGGAGGAACGAGCATAATGGTGGCTTGAATACCTTGGATAAGTGTATCAAAGCGATTTATGGTAGTTGGAAGAACTTGATGCAACGTAAGTTTCAACCAATGAGAGATAATTTTCCCATTTGATTTCATTAAAATTCTATTATGAAGTTGTTAAACGTATGTCGATTTATCTCATTCCGCAGATAATTCATTTCACAAGTAATGCACTAATTATTTGAATAGCGAGAGATGTCATTGGTATGGGATTTGTGAATGATATTTTACAATTTTGTAACGGATAATTTAAACCGTTGAAAATGCATCATGCAGAACATTTGAGTGTTGCTCATTTTGTGATGTTAAAGAGAATTTTGCTGAAATATTTTACAATACTAGATCCACCTAGATCATAGGTGTACGAGGTACAAGTATTAATTCACGGAAGAGAATATATCGTGAAAGATTGTGCCCAGTGAAGCGAGAAGCAGGTATTCGACGGTGAACTCTGCACGGTGACGCCCGTAAACGGTAGCAGTAGCTGGACACCAGTTAGAATCGATCGTTTCAACGGATACAACGAGAGCATACCGAGTTGAACGAGCGTCTGAGTGAGGATGGGGAGAATGAGAAAAAAAAAATTGGCGAACAAAAAAAGAAGAGGGAAAAATGAAGAAGAGAATATGGCTGGGGCCATTGGGATTGTCCGTAGCGTCTCGATAAGGCATTTTCTCAGCAGCTGTCCTCATTCCAGATGGGTTTCACAGCCTCAGGATTTTCTCAGACTGGCGAAATTGCTTCGAAGGTCACACAGAGACCGTTTTAATAATTCAATGTTGCAGGACTCTTTTGAACATTCAATTCACCAGATTCTACTGATGTTGATTCCTTCCCCTTGGTCCTTCTCTCAGACTTGGACATTAGCCCTAGTTTCCTCCTCCTTCATTCATCTGGGAAATGCTCCAACTATTTTCACAGAGGGTTTTAATGGTGGATAGAAGAGGCACCCGGTGAAATTTCGTCTCCTCGTTGCACGGTACACATACGTGAGAGCATTTTCCTCCAGGACTCTAACTCGAGTAGCGAAGGAAAACCCGTTTACAGCTCTACAAGGAGATTCGTTTTATCGCGGTGTGACCATAAAACAACTGAATGGTTCCACTATCCTCACTCACGTACTAAAGATTCCGAGGGAAAATTTCAGTGCCTTAGGATTTTATATGCTGTGGAAGTACTTGGGTTTGATTTTAATGCCTTGGATTTTAGTCAGATCAGAAGTCTCAAGGTATAACAACAATTATTGGACATTCAATTTCAACGTAATGATTAAATACTTCAGAATAAACTGGAGAATGCTAAATAATAATTGTTGCCAATTATTATTTAGCATTCGAGTTGTTTATTATGGTATAAAATTTCCGAAAAAAAAGTAGGATCAATGAACAATTTTAAATATGGCTTTTTTATTTTGATAAAATTATTAAGTGGATCACTCGAAATTGGAGCGAACCGAATTCCTCGCATATCAGTGATTGAACAAGATAATTGATAATAACCAAGCATTTCATCGCTAGACGCACACCATTGTTTTCTATCGAATTATCGTCTAGCAAACCACTACAATGATTCATACACTCAAATTGGCTCGTGTGATCTCTTTCAAAACATTTAATTGCCCTGAGATCACTCGAAAGATTTATTCATTCGGTTTCATCGCATGCTCGCGCCAATGATGTAAAAAACAAATATCTCAAAACGGTTAAAACTTGCTATTAATATTACCGATGTCGTCTATTAAAGAGAACACATTGCATAAACTCAATTCATCATCGGCATTATCTGTATGTATCATCGAGATTTAGTCTCGACCGACCGGACAAATGTAAACATCAATAATGGATTGCGATCAGCCTACCGATGACTTTTTTTCCTATTTCCATGACACGTTTTACGGAAATGCTCATACTGATTGTACGTAACACGAGAGTTTTCTATTTTATTTAACCTCAAGTAGGATCGTTGAGGGACGAAATAGAGAAGGGGGTTAAATCTCAGGGCAATTCGATGGTGGGAAAAATCAACAACCTGTTGATATCAAATGGCAATTTTAGAAGCAGCTAGGAATATCCCATGTGTATTCTAAGAATGTTTTCTTTTTCTAAGGGTAGTTTAGAGAATGAAAAATTGGTTCTGTCTCGTTTGCTTCTGCCAAATATCTCTCTCAATCCTGTGGTGCCTTCATTTATGTTTCACTCTCAAACCGAACACGTGTTCCTTATTTCTCCTAATTTTTTCTTCTCATCACATTTTTGTTCATTTACGACGGAAAGTGAGAGGAGGAAAAATAAAACTGGAGACAGAGACAAAGAGACAACACGGTGTATATAAATAAGTCTCGTATTTCCGCGGCATTTCTTAAAAGCCTTCCACTGGTGCATTAGATGAGAGAGGGTGGTACGAGGAAGTGAAATTGTTGGGTATTAACGTGTGCACACGTGTCGAGTAGTTATCTTACTACTTGAGAGTAAGAAGGAGTGAATTTCGTGACGAAATCAGTCAGAGTTGGTCACTGTAGTTATCTTGCGGATGGATAACATAATGTTGAATGTTATTACTCGTCGTGTCTTTGTTATTAAAATTATTACAAAGTCCTCAACTGGGTAACAATGGTCTCTCCTTTGGTTGTAGGCCGGCATAACAGCTAAAGGACGTCCGGGTTAGTGTACGTGTCATTTTTGTACTCTCGGCTGGTGGTGGAAGGTTTTTCTCGTTCTTTTTATTCTCTCTTCTCTCATTTTTCTGGGTAATTTTTCACTTTTTCTTTGGTGGACACTTGTACCCTTCGTTTGCCTCCTTCCTCATTCTTCGGTGTGGGTTCAGTCAAGGAAGAACAGAATGTCTAGAGTACTCGTCTCCACCAAGCGGGGACTTCTCACTGTCATCGTTAACTTTTTTAGAGAGTTATTTTTTTCCCCCCCTCTACTACTGGCTTTATTTTTACTGCCAACCAATTGACATGTGGATCGTGTTGACTTTGAGATCCCAAGTTCTATCTCATTACATCATGGCGTACGCAGACTTGCTTGTCCTTCGCCTTTTTTTCACTCCCCAATTTTCATCAGAAACACCTACACACCAGGGCATTAACCACCTACACTTGGCGGAACAAGGTGAACCAATCATTTCGAGGTCGAGTTCAGAATTTCTTTTTCTCTCTCTTCGCTCTCGCTGGCATGAGAATTAATGTATTTTTGGGTTTCTTTTATCCACTTGGAACGTGAAGTGTTTTTTTCAGTAAAGCATTCAGGATGTATACTGGGTGGGGGAAAGTGTTGGACATGTACATAGAATCCTCAATCATCACTGAGTGTCACTCAGAGCTCATGGAATTTGGAATTTGTATAACACTTGCTCCTTGCGTCTCTGGGATTTCCCGATGAATTTATGAATTTATATTTTTATCGAGGAATTCAATTAAAACTAGTTTTCCACAGTGGTGAGAAGTTGTATGTTAATAGTAAATACCCGACAAAGCAACAGTTTCCCTGATAGCCAATAATTTTCGCATCCGCTTGAAATAAGCCTCATTCAACTCTCAACTTCTCAGGATAACCATTTCAGTCTCGTCTTTTTTACTCATCAACACGAATCATCGGACTTTTGTCGTACAATCTGGGTCGTGATGTTTATTTTAAAATTCAAAACAATTTTCCTCCACATGGTAAGTTACTTTCGATAAATCGGGACAGGTACAATCTTCGGGGGGGTTCAATGCGAGAGGCGCGTGCGTCTCTAGAAACGTGGGAAGACGATGAACTAGATCCGGGTATATGTTGGCATTACTACATCACCCGGGATATCGAGAAAGATGTGTCGATCGATGTTACACCGCTGTTGTGTTAAACACATTAAAAAATGGAGACATTGGGACTGAAGTTGGAAAGACATAGAGAGAAAAAACGAGCTGGGTGAAAAATTTATTTTCCACATGTGGTGAACCCGTGAACTCGTTCATGTTTTTGAAAAAAAAAAAAAAGTAAATGAGTTGAAGGATAAAATCCCTCCAGCCGAGTGGTTATACCTTTCTCCGTGTCTGCACGACATTTTCGGTTAGAACTGGTTCGAAGCCTTTTATATATATAAATTTAAAAGCCGTCCTACGCCGATGAGAACCTGTTCCACGCCGGCAACGTGTAACCAACGTCCTCCTCTTTGCATCGTGCATTCGTGCATTCGTGCATTCGTGTACACTGGAGGGATCCTTTCCCACCTTCCCTCCCAAGAGGCTATACAAACTCTTCCATCCATCCTTATTTCTACCATTGTCGTAAGCAACAGGGGGTGATCAAGCAGATATACGCACGAGGAGGACACTCCAAGAGGCGTGTGCGCCACTTCTCCTGTATATATATATAATTATATATATATATATACATATTTTTTAGTCTTATTCCTATTTATCCTTTTTTAACGACTATCCAAGGGGATTTCGACTCGTCGTTCCTCTCTTGTATTCTCCTCTACCTCGAACGCAGACGGGACAAAGGCGTTTTCACGTACAATTTACCACTCGCGTTTGTCATACTCCAAATCCGTACAATTCACTTCTCTGCCACCGATAATAATGACAAAATTGTATTCAATCCGTACGCTAATTTGTGTCATTCAAGGTGCCCCTTTAAATTCACCGAAAACAATTGGTTTGTCGTTGAGAAAGAATTGTTGAAGAGTATTCAGAAGGGAGTGAGTGTTGGTGAAGGCGGCCATCACCCTGGACTCTTTCTCGCATCATAAAGAAATCGTTACGATTTGAGAGCTCTGCGAAAGAAATCTGAAAATGTAAAAAAAGAAACAACTTAATAATAGAAAGAGTGGAGTTTATGTTACAACTTACAAATTATTGGCGCGAGCAGTGTGATCCTAATTGAGTGATAATGTTATTTTGAAACAGTTGGTGGCATGAGCCGGCCATCGAAAACAGCGACCCAGGCGAAGAAGGTGGCACCACCGGCTGTGCCCGATGTATTCCGCCACTCGGGCTCGTCCTTCGGATCGGCGGGATACGCAAGTAGCGAGGACGGCGGTTTCCTGTCGAGCGGTTGCGGCGGGGGCGGACCTGGTGACGACGGTTCCTATGGAATGCCAGCGGGAAAGAGTCCAGGACCAATTTACACGCATCCTGGATTTGCATTTCCACCAGTCGTTGGCAAATATGCCCACGCCGAGGATCAAGGTAAGGCTTCAACTTCAAAATCCTTACGTAAACGCTCAGCTCGGTACCATTTCCCAAATTAAGGAAGACGTCAAAATTTTTGTTATCACTTTTCTCTTAAGCTAATAGAGTACTACGAACAAAGGATTGATAAACATCCCACTATCTCCCTCAGTTTCCGAAATATTTCCGAAAAAATCCTGAATTCCGAAAAAATAATTCCGAAAAAACTGAGAATTTAATTAATGTGTCTGGTTTCAATTTCAAGGAATGTTGAAGTAACTCTTGAATGGCGAAACAATTGTTTAGTCTAGGACAGGGAAAACCATAAAAGGTTTAGTCCCCCATTGTTTTCCATTTCTCATTCATGATTTATTGGCACTCCTTAGGCATTGATATGACACAGAGCCCGGGTAGGGATAGCCCAGGGAGCTCTGGTTCAGGATCCGGCTCGAGACACTCCACTGCATCGCTCGATTCGGGAAGGGCATCGGGCTATCATCTTGGACCACGTGGACCTGGCGCCCTTGCATCATCACCTAGATGCTCAATCAGCTCACTCGGCAGTCATCCAGACAGGCCAGCTGACCTTGACGTTGTGCACGCATGGCTAACTGAGTTACAGTTCGAGGAGTATTTTCCTTTATTCGCCTCGGCTGGTTACGATCTCGCTACCATTACACGAATGACCCCCGAAGACCTCACGGCAATAGGTAATTGAGTATGTTTATGCTCTTAGGGGGAAGGGAATACTTTCAGTTGAGTTTCACCGGTAAAAAAACATTTGAAATACAGCAGTGGTGCTGCAACTCTAATTGATGAATTTTATTCCATTCTATTTTATTCTATTCGTACTGTAAAATTAGAGAAAGTATCAGGGGAATTTCATCGCACAATCTTTCGCATCACTGTTTCAAAGAGAAAAAAAAAAACCATTTGTTTATAATGGTTTTCAAACGGAAAATCGTGATGACACAAATAACTCGAGTCCCCCACGTTTTCCACCTCCATTAACATGAGCATTAAGTCTCAGTGACTCCAGTTGTCTTTAGTATCCATTGCATTAAATCCCTCGATAGTTTTTGACCCACAAATTGCTGAGTAAAATTGCGCAAGGGTATATTTATAACTCAATAGTTGTAATTAGATAAAATCTGATTGTAATGTTAATGTTATTTTTATTATTTCGCAAGGTATCAAAAAGCCAAATCACAGAAAACGACTGAAAGCGGAGATCGACAATCTTAATGTAGGTGATGGATTGCCGGAGCATGTACCCGGCTCCCTGGAGGAGTGGCTGAGATTATTGCGTCTTGAGGAGTATCTTGGTGCACTGCATCAGCAGGGTATGAGATCTGTTGAGGATGTCACGACTCTAACATGGGAGGACCTTGAGGACATTGGCATTGTTCGTTTGGGTCATCAAAAAAAACTTGTATTGGCCATAAAACGTGTTAAGGATATAAGATCGGGTAAGAGGGTACAGCCACTGGATTTGGCGAGACTACCACCTCATCCTGGCCATACACAGGACGTTGTGATACAGCGTGGTGGACCTGAGCTTCCATCACCCGATGAGGATTGCTCATCACCTGTACTTAGATCATTTCAACGAGTTGGAAATGAATCCTCATCGGCATGGAGAAGTATGTATGCTGCATTGCCTGGAGGAATGGAATATTGTACGGTTGGGAGGGGACCACGTGGCAAATCACTTGAAAGTTTGGAAGATGCACCTCTTGGGTATCCACCATCTCCAGCACCTGTCCAACACATCGATCCACTTGGATGGCGTCCGAGATGTTTTGAGGATGGCGATGTTACACCCACCAACGAGGTTTCATCCATGATTGAAGCTGGTGGTGGTACACTTCCTCGACCGAGACACTGTCTTGTCAGACCACGGCCCGTTGCCAAGGTAAAATACAATTAGCTATAATACGAATTAATTTTGTCCATCTGATTTTATTAACACCCTTAAACATCCGTGGATGCATGATTCAATGCATCTGATTAACGAAATATTCAGGGAATACCAAGTGTACAGTAGGTTTTTGGAAAATGAGGAAAAAGTATTGAATACATGGGGGGAAGGATGATCTCGAGGTAATCAAGCTTCTTCGGTTGTATAATCTAAATGGGTTGTTATGAAATTACAGAGTTATTGAATTTACTCACTGAGGTATTCTCAAGTTGTTTATTCTTTAATAAAAAATGCCCTGAAATATGGATACTCACATATTTAAGTCATTAAATTTGTCAGGAAATTCCTATGGATGGAGAATTTATATGAGATATTTAGCCAATGATTGGAGAAAAAGAGAGTTGAGTTAAATGCATGAGAGTTTTGCAAACCATTAATTAAATGTTTTTAAATATTATTGGTAATTTGGGTGTTACATGAATGAGAATAATGAGCTGCACTCAGTGTTATTATAATAAAAATCAGTTTATGGAACAGGTAACGGCAACCCAGGGTCAATTCAAATCGCTTCCCAGGGATTTTGATAACAAGTATCAATTAACGTATGGTTTGGAGAGTAGTCCTCATCTTCCAAAACGACGACCACCATCACCACCGAGACGACAGAGCTCCAGGGAATTGGGTAATATTGGTGGTGGTAATGGTGATGTTGTTATCGACTGTAGTGGACCAGTACCGACTGCTTGCGATGAACATCATATTCATCATCATTCACTGCATCATCCACCGCCTCCAGCGCCTGCACCGTCAGCTGCACCCTCAACTCCACAATTTCATAGACCTGCCTCCTCCATGTCACGTTCCTGGGGCAGTGTCAGTGCCAATGTCAATGAGGAACACGAACTTATTGCTACACTCGCTTTACAGCATCGTAATGGATCTGACGCTAGTTTCAAGGTAATTAAGGGGAATTATTTTTTTATTTTTTCATCATTAAAAAGTTTATCATTAAATTGAATATTTCAATCTGAATAACTTGGAAAGTCTCATTAATTCAGATGAACATTTTCTTGCTTTCGAGGTAAATGATATAATTCAGTTAAAATCTTTATGACTTTATTCGTATTTCACCTTTATTCCCAATATCATTGGGTTCCATAAAAGTCTCGGTACATTTAAATAATAAAAGGTGAGGTATTCCATTATTGTAGTCAAGTGTTACAGCTCTATTTACACTACTACGGATAAGAGAAAAAAAAAATGAATAAAAAGGAAGAACTGAAAAAAAAAGGGGATACACATAAATGAAGTTTGCTTGCGTTAAAATATCTCGAAACTCGTAAGACTTCGTCCCCAGTAGATCTTGTAGGATTTTTTATTGAAAATTGAAAGAATATAGTTCAATATTGTTTTTTTTCTTCAATTCTTACAGTCAAGTTCAAGCACAGAGTCGGATTCCTTACCGTTCGCAAATGAAAATGCTGGTACGATAAAACAACGTGCAGCACGAGTCCAGGAATACGGCAATAACTCGCCCAACCTCAGTGGACACATGGTATCTCATCAGCATCGTCCATCTAGTGGTAATGAGCCCGCAGATGTATTAAACGACATTGGCAATATGCTTGCCAATCTAACTGATGAGCTAGATGCCATGCTGGAGGAAGAGAAGCGTCAAGGCCTCAATCCATAATTGTCACTGTCTCCATAACGTGTCCTACTTTGTACTTGCGTTGCCATAAAACAATGGATCGTTGAGGAAGAACAGATTAATGAAGAAGGGAATTAAAGAGTGAGAGATAGTAAGTGAGGGAGAGAGTAAATAATAATGATAGAATTCATATTTCCTGGTTAGATGGAACAGCGATAAGTCACCGAGTCCAAATTTCCGCTATTGTTGAGACAGATAATATAGCCAGGAGGAGTGAGTTGATTAGTTACCTGCGATAATCGAATGATAAATGAAAGGAAATTAAATATTTGGAATTTAGAAATGATAGCTTCCAGTCTCATTCGATTCTTCCGGTGAAATGGATATATTTCATTTTTTTCTCACACGATATGGGGATATACACGAAACATCTTTGTATAGCTTTTTTCCTAATGCATAGCCATTAAAATACAATTTTTGGGTATTATAAACAACTTTGGGAATTTTTATTGGTGAGAATATTTGTATGATAGCCACAAATTTCATATGAGAATTTACAAATGAGATTAACTGAATTACTATCTTCACTGTATGATTGATACCAGATAGTATCTATCAACAGGGTCACCGTATAAGCCGTATAAGGTAATGAAAAATCCAAGTTTTTCCAGGGCTCATTTTTGTTTGATTGTAGTCATAAAGGAGTTTATGTTTATACTGAGCCGTTGAGTAAGCGCACGTGCAGCTTGTGATCTTTTCCCTCTTTCTTGAACCGAGCTTATTTTTCTTGACGTCGCCGATAGAATTATCACTATGTCTTCTTTCGTCGAATTATAGTTCTCTCAGACATTCCACTCGAGGCCCATTTTTTGTAGCTCACCGTCCTTCTCGGTAACATAAAGAGGAAATTATAGAGAAAAATTGCCAAGAGGAAGCACGCAAATACGTAGTACAGATGAGACTCTGTACTTTGTTGGTTTTTGTTTTCGTGAACAAAGAGAATTAAATGATAAAAATGAAGGGAGTGTCCTTGAAGACTCGACTGACTCGAGAACTTCTCATGAATCGATTGTGTATTTTAAAAAATTAACAAAAACAGAATGAATATGTAAAATTACATAAAAGGCTGACAGATGTTGAATTGAATCATGAATAATGTGCACCGGTAAAGCACAATTATCCAGATGCCAATTGATGTTTTTTTTTTAATATTTATTATGCACTAATAAACGTAACGTAAACGAAAACATATTGCTTTACGTGACGTAACAAATGTTATAGTGATAAAGCGCCCAGCTGTACAGGGTGCCCGGCAAGTTCCGTATATGTTTTTTTTTTAAATATAATTTAGACGAGAGAGAAAAAAAAACTCGGATGAACGTGAGAATTGAGAGTGAGAGTGTGAGGATCTAGGTAAGATTTTTTCAATTTTTGGAAAATGCAATGTGTACAGTTGTTTACTTCATAACTGAAAATTGACATAAGGTGCATTAACTTAAATAAGAGAAATGTAACGTCATCACTCCTCTGGCGCTCCAGTGTGCCCAGAATAAAAATTCAAAAAACTTTGAAGATAATAACATTGCACTGTAGGATGAAATTGTGCTCCCGCCCAATTGTGAAACAGATATGGAAACTAAAAACGATGAACCGCTACTTAATCTGCTAAAGGAAATGAAAAATAAAATTTGATGAAAAAAATTAATAATGTTCCGATATTACTCGGGTCGAGAAATTGTCTTGTTAACTATTGTAGGTGTATAGTTATATATAGAAAATACTATGGAGTGGCAGTGAATTTTGGAGTTTGTCGGAAGTTTCCGTTCCAAATGAAAAATCAAAGAGACTCTCTAAATATTAAAAAAAAGTAAAAGTAGGTATAATTCTCCAGGTTTGAGGGACCCCATTTCCGCTTAAAATTTCCCCATACCGAGGACAGAGTCAACAACAAAAACAAAATTTACCCATCAGTATTGTCATTATAACAGCGCACCATTCCGATAACCTCTACAATCACTACTTTTCCATGGTGTATAAAAATATTATATGTATACATATATACATATATATGTATATATATATATATATATATATATATATAGAAGAGTAAAAGAAGTAAAGAAACATAGAATAAAAATTTAGTTATAGTTTTTGTACAAAAGGTACACGCCCGCTGGTTCTAAAAACTGTATTCCCCCCTTCCCTCTCCCTCTCCCCATTCCTGATAAGATCACTACCCTTCCATGTTGATTTTCCAACGCATTATATTACTTGGTTAAAACATTATAGAGATGATTGAAATAAAGCCGATTGAAATAAAATGGGTAAACAAATTTTTCACCCAAATTCCCCTTGTCCCTTTTTGCCAATCCTTGCAACCGCAAGAACTCTGTCACTGTGTCGAATCGCTGATTTCTACACCGTGAAATGAACAAGCGAAAAGAAGTGGTTTTAAAAAGCCATCCAGAAGGTAATAAGATCGAGGTGTACAGCAGTGATATTTGAAATACGATAGTTGAAAAGTGAGGAATGCCAGAAGCAAATGTCTCCACAACTGGGAAGTATCCACTTGCTCCAAGTTTTCGTCTGGCATGAGAATAAAGTGTAATATACAAGCTTGAGAAGTGGTTGAAGTACACTACTCCCTTGAAGATGGTGAAACAGGGCTTGAAAGCGTCCGGTATAAAGTTACCCCGTTGTAAGCCTTATCGTACGCCAATGTCCCTGAATGGTAAAAGAGGGGGAACCCCAGAGTTTCTCATTCACATGCAGTGGCGCAGGACACAAAGGGAAATGAGGAAAAAGGCGTCAGTGGATAGGAGGTAGGATAGTGGGGATAAAAGGAGTGAAAAGGAGTGTGGAGGAAGGGAAAATCTCTTGGTTGCAGACAACAAGGAGAAACAGTAAGCGCTGAGTGCCTATGTGGTGTTCATCCTGCTGCATTAAAACTGATGCTTGGGATAAAAGGTTTAGAGCCATTCGCATTCATCTTGACTTTGCATCCTCTGCATCTAAGGTACACAAAGAAGTCAAATGCTACGATGTATGTGGGGTGGTCGGGTGGATTTAACCCAGTGGCGTAGGAGATATAAGTGAAAAGTGGTGTGTGGGAGAATGGCAGTGTATTTTTCTACTGTGCTACCACTGGCCCATGGAGGGGAGCTCTACCCTCGATCCGTATTGCCGCACGGTGGGAGTGAAACTGGAGGTACTATGAAAATCTGACATTTGCCTGTACGCGTCAGAAAAGACAGAGCATTGCGCACAGTGGCAGCTTTGTACTCTGACGTTTTTTGGTAGAGCGCGTGCTCCAAAAGTCTCTGTTATGCTACTCGTGTGTCTCGTGTAGTGTCCAGTGGTTTTCCGGAGCGTGGAGTTTTCACCGTGAAAAAATCATTTCAGGAGGACCAGAGTGCCAACATCCAAACTTGCCATTAAATGAACCCCGTGATATTTCAACATTTCAATAGAATACTATTGCATCGGAGTTTTCTCGACATTTGCATTTAGTGCTTTTGTGTTGTTAGTGAAATGAAAGGTGTGTGATTTTGCAATAATCATTTGTGTGTTCTTCAACGGAAAGAATCGTTTTATTTTTTACGACAGAGTCTTTGAAAAGTCTATTCCTCACTCCATCCAGGATGAAGCTAATTGTTTTTTTTTTGTTTTTTTCTTTCTTTCATCTCAGTTATTTTTTTTTTATTTTGAAAGAAAACCATGGTAAAAAGAGAAAGGTATGGATGATTCTCTCACGGACTTCTCTAGAATGGGATCAAGTGAAGGAGGATGGAGTATCTACTGTAAGAACTTGTTGGGCTGGCATGGAGTCGATATTATTCGCTAAAGTGTGCCGATCGGTCGGAGTGTCAGGAGAGAAGGCGCGCGCGTGGCCAATTTCGGTGTTGTTATAGGTAGAATTGCACCTACGGGAGGACACCGTGAATGCTATTATTTCGCAATGGGTCGAGGTCAGATGAAGTACGACAATGGGAAAATGGAACACAGACCAAGAGAGATTGTCGAGATTCGATGGGCTGGAGTTGATGCACAGCCTCATTAAAGAGAAAATACACAATTGGTTGACGTCAACTGACTTTCTTCATAATTTATTTGCGCGGACCGAAGGGACAAAAGCACGAAAGCACGAAAGCACGAAAGGACTTATGTCAAAAGAAAAAAACATTTGGCCTTTTAGCAAAATTGCAATAACTGACAAATCGTAGAAACGAGGTAACAATTGCGCGTGAGATAATTCAGCGTTGAGCGCGTAAATCGTCGGATTTTTTGTATTCAATCTCTTTGGTAAGAAAAAGGAGAAAAAAAAGAAGTCGGTCGTTTGAGTTGAGCGGTATATGGGAGTACGACAGGAGAGAAGGTTTCCGCGGATAGTACCGTTTGTCAAAACGGTCAGCCACAAACGCGCCAACTTAAAGGGGGTAATCTTTGATGTATAAATGTTTCTGTTACCGTTGTAAATGCTTAAAAGCCCCATGCGCCAGACAGTAGATTTTTATATCACCATCGGTACACACCGGCATAATGTTTTTAATTTTACAATTCACACTCACTCTATCACGATTATACGATGGCAGAGTAAGAGCAGAAGAGCAGAAGAGCAGAAGAGCAGAAGAGCAGAAGAGCAGAAGAGGGCGGGGGGGGGGGGGGGGGGGGGGGAGGGGGAGTCTTTCTCATTTCGGTTTGGTCTTTGCTCTTGTTTTGCGGAATAAAAGCCTAGAAATACGAATAATTATGTTTAGTGATGGGGGAGACACGAGGAGCATTTAAAACGCGTGCCACTGTGTGGAATGTAATTCGCTCGAGAGAATTATCGATCGAGTGAACGCGCAATATTTAATCGCTAATGGGAATACTCGAAATGAACATCGGGACGATGAAATTTAATAGTGAATTGAGAGGATTGCATTGGTATTATTCTGATTTGTTTTTGTATAAAAATGAACATTGTAAAATTGTCATAGTCTAGTGAATGTTAAAACGTGTACTTTTCATTTTCAGACCGGGCATACGTGACCGGTTAACCAGAGCTGAAACGGTGCTTTCATCAGCGGGGGAAGAAAGAAAGAGAGAGAAAAGTATAGAAGGATCTCCGAGAGAATAGGGAAGGATGTGATATCGCCAAGTTGGAAAGAGAAAAAGAGATAGAGCAGTTGGGTGAAGAGGAGATATACGAGGCCGTTGGTTAGCCAGTAGTATCCGATAAAAAGAGAACGGAGAGCAATTTGGGCTTTAACACTCTAGAGACAAATGAAAAGTCAGGGAATATAATACAATTGCCTCTTCCCATACACAGTAAGAACTGTTGCATTGAGAAGTTAATGGAAACAACGAGTCAAGTTGGCAAGTAATTTTCATGCTTGAGTACATTTTCACGGGAGAATGGTGATAATGGATGAGGAAACGAATTGACGAAAGCTCAACTCCTCTCGAACGAATGAAAAATGGCAATTTTATTATTAAATAAAGGAGAAGTATTATAGAAAATTCCGTTTATACAGCGAATTGAGGGGAACAAAGGAGACGCACAGGGTCGTACGAGTGAAAGAGAAACGGATTAAACTACACATAGCATTGAAGGAGCGGCACAAAAAAGGCGGAGGAAAAAAATAAAAGGGAGAATACTGAACGAATGGTTGAGTGCGATAGAGACGGAGGATAAAGATGAGACGTGAATAAAGGGAAATACCTGTCGATTGAGATTTTGAGCTGTTTGGGGATTTGGTGATTCGGGGTGCGAGGTGGCGGGTGAAATTACCACGTGGATACGTCACAGCAAAATTCTCTGAATTTGGGGATTTTTCGAGTACCAGAAGAAAGTGTGTGTGTGCAGTAAGAGTACCAGAGGGGAAAGGGACAAAGTGGGCGAATCGTTGCTGTGGAGATCGATGTTCAGGGGTGTACGATGGCCGGGGCGCTGTCCGAGAACGCGCCGAGACCGGTGAGCATTGTAACCGTTGATGCTGGCGGTGGTACGAGCGTTGAAACACCACCGGTACCAACAACCGATCTCACCCACGAGACTAGATGTCAGAATGGACGTGATAATCGTGAGACAACGCGATGCTTTGCCTCGACCGAGGCACAAACTGAGAATACCCCGAGGCTCATTGAGGATGAGATAAGGGATGCAAGGAGACGAGAGAGAAGGGTCCGGAGGCATCACCGCAGGGCCATGAGGAGTTGCTCGATGCCACCGAGTTATCCTGGTGTGCCCGGTTGTGTTAATGCCGCTGCTGGCATTGGCACAGCTCCGGGTATGCCCCTGGTACAACCAGTGGGGGGTTTTCTCCATCCACCGCCACCACATCTTGGCCTCAGGGGTCTCAGCCTCGGTCTGCCATTTCCAGTGCCCACCAGTGTTTCTGCCTTCGGCAGGTCAGCAACTTTTAACTCTATAACGGACCTTTTATTTATCGATATTTTTCATCACCTCTATCGCACCTCTCCATCTTCCCTCCAACTACTATTTTCTTCTTTTTTACATGTCTTGATAACGGGCCCCGATTCTGGCTATACGGGGCACCAACCAGTCTTACGTCAATGATTTATTTCGGCTGAATAGTATGCCTCGGATGTATTGTCTCGGATGTATATCAATATTTCAACTGACATTTCAATAGTTTTTTTTTTGTTGAGTGATTGAAAAGAGAAATTCGTTGTAGTGATGAAATGAAATGTATTCAATATTCCAATGACTATTCGATGTTTTTTTTTTCTTTGCTCGAACATTTCTCTTGTGTCTTTCACTCGTTTGTATCTCTGTACATGCCAGATTCGCTTTCGAGACCCTCGGCAGCTCTCATCAGCAGTTACGCTCTGGTAGCAATTGAATTTCGACTATGTCAGTGTGATTTTAAGCCCGACTTCACTCCAGTCAGAATGACTGGTGGAAATTAATCGAGTACAGTGGCTAGTGTTTCTTTTTTTTTTTTTTGTGTGTTTAAAGATCATTCAGCGAGTTGAGATATCAGCAGCCTTGACTCAAGGCTTTTATTGCACGTGATTCTCCTCGAATCTCCCATATTTCCTGCATTAGCATTTTTTGTGCACTTTGAGATTGTAAATACCGCGTGCCAGGTGCTCGATGAATATTCCTTTTCCCCCGACGTGCAAAGTGGCGCGCCTTTATTACACGCAGTAGCCCATAACCGAGAGGAATATATTCAAGAGAGACCGTGTCTTCTTCTATATGAGAAAATTCCACAAGCGGAAAGGATGAATCGTGCAATTGCACGCCCCTAGCCTAACTCGAAGACAATGAACTAGACTCGCAGATACTGATACAATTTCCAATTCGAGTCGCGTGCGCATGGTTAAAAAAAAAAACACATTTTCCTTCCGCTTCAATAAATTAATTCCGACCGGTTTAGAAAAAGACAGTACAAAACCTGAAAAATGAATGGAGGAAGTTCACTCGTGTCAACGGAGACGCGAATTTTCCGGTTTAATTGAAATTTATATATCATTTTAACGCTTGCATTCTCCTCTTTCACCTGAAACTGCAGCTTTAACGAGGTACCGAGTGTTACGACACATGAGCTATGAGGATAGAGACTTCGGGCTCTTTCAGGCTCTCGGAGTGGAATACAAAAGATGCAGAAGCCAAGAGAAATTCCGGTTGACGGATAATTGCGGAATACCCGAGAGTGCAACGATACAAAATTTTGCACACACTACGTGTATTCCCACGTGTCACTGGGTTAGTTAGTCCTCTATATACTGCTTATTCTGGTTAATGAGTAAAAAGCGCCTCTTTGCTCGATGATTCCTTTCGGCCAATTGATGCTGGAGTAACATGCAATAACTCAAAGAATTACATTGGTTCGTCTATCTCAAAGAGATTTCATTCGGACATAGGCCGAGTGGTGTAGGGCCTTCTGTATCGTCTGTACCGCATTTCAGTTTTGTAAACGAAAATCCAACTTGATTCGATGGACTCCCTGGGATTTTCATGAGCGTGGCTCGTGGGGGAGGGGAGGGGGCGGCATCGAAATAGCAGAGTGAATCTATATATTTACGCTTGGGTGAATCAAACGTACCGAGGGGTTGCTTTTATGCTCTTGCATGCAGTATGGCCTTTATTTTTCGTGAATCATTCCTGTATTTTTTTCCCCCATCTCACCCCTCCCGTGCCTCGGCCAATGGCCCTGGATCGATGCCCTGCACACGTGCTTGTCAAAAAACATTATATATATGTACACTTCTTAATGGTCAGAGATAAAAAATAATAGCTGAATAAGAAAAAAAAATTCTCCCCTTTCATTTGACTTCTGAGTTTAGGTAGATAAGAGTTTAGAGAGATGGAATAGGATTGGAGAAATGGGGGTTTTAGGTATTATGAGATATCGGGGAATTAACCGTGTGAGGGGCTGCTAACAAATTAAACTTTTCGGTATCGTGGCTTGTTGGAAATCTCTAATACCCTTCAATGGCACACCGCCTACTACATCGACCCTTCATCTACTGAACCCGACGATTGGCTCGTTAAATGTGGATAGTTTCCCTTCTAGTTGGTTGGGAGTGAGAACGGAGGGGGTGGAGGAGAGGCAGGTGGGTGCACAGTCTGTTTTTGGACGTTTGGAAAATCGATAATTTATCAGAACGCTCCAACAAATGCTGCATATAGCCCACCTCTAGTACTGATCTTTACTGCAAAACAAAGACAAATCTCAATGATTATGGATGTGCCTGAAAATAATAATTGATTTTTATCCTTGATAAGTTGTTGCTGACTGGAACAACTAGGTAATTTGGCATTGGGTTTATCCGGATGAGGGAAAGTGAGTCCATGTTAATCCCTTTTGCAATTGCCCGTGTAGATGGTTTTTCCATTAAACATTTCTCTCTGGAGTGAGCGACACAACAAAAGTTTATCAATAAAGTTGGAAAAAGGTGTGGCTAGTGCTTGGCATTTAATTTTTCGCCAGAATTTTTCAATGTTTCGATTAGCTCAGCGAGATAGACAACAAAACTCGTACACGGAAATAAAACTTGTGCCATGGGAGAGCACTGCACTTTCTATTCCGCTCGTCATTATACCCACGAGCGCGTTCTGCTCGGGTTTGGTAAAATTTCTCTGAAATATTGGTTCACCGATGGTGAAATTTCACTGGTACGTGAATCGAGTAAATCGAGATGAGGGGCAATAAAAGGGTAAAAATCTCCACTTGATTTGTATGGCGGTGTGAGTTAGAGAGACCAGAGAGATGAAAACTGGTAGTGTCTATGATCGGTTAGTGGTTTTACGATGGGGGAAATATAAGTGAGTTGGTGAGCCTCAGAGGCGATGAAGTTTTGAAGGAGAGAAACAAGATAAAAGAAATAAAGTGTATGTCAGTGGGTCAGTGCTCTGTACTGAACGTCGTGGATTTTCTTGTTACAGGGACGCAGTGCCGAAGCAATGTTGTGGCTTGGGCTCACCACCAGTTCGCTGGTCAATTCTCGGTGTTGGCATCGTCGGGCTAGTTTGTGCAGCTGCTGGAGCTCTACTTGGTGCCCTCAGGGCAACCGGTCGTGACCATATAGCCGTATCGCTTCTCATGATTGGTAATAAACTTTTCTCCTTCTTCTCCCACTTCACTTTGAAATACCATCATTTCGGAATCTCCACTACTAACTCTTTTATTGATCCAATTTTATGGGACTAGATTAAAACTTCTAGTTACATTTTAGCCTTTATTGGTCACAACCGAACAAATATAATAGCAAAATCACTGTGTCATTTCATTATTACAATCATGCACCGACAGCTCATTTTAATAATTGCTTTATTACTCTTGCGTATGGTATCAATCGCTTGCTAATCATTATCCCCTGTGATTAACTTCGATTATATAATTATGTGTCAATTGTACACTTGGAAAAAAATGACTCCGCTGTTGGTGCTATTCACAAAACGGATTGGAAAAAATTCGATATTTGAAACTTGATTCAGTCCTAATCAATTCTCAAGCTTCCGCTGGGATATTCAACTCAATTCACCGTGTCCCTCTACTGCTTCGTGATGGGCAATATTTTTTCCTTTCAATCTCATCATTTCACGGAAATCTTATTTGTTAGCAATTGGTCGCTTCTCTCAGTGGGCTGGCTGTAATCTTTAATGATTCATGCCCACCGAGGTTTGAAATTGATCCAACCGAGTTTGATAACACCCAGGGACTATAGCCATTATTAAATCACTTCAGGAACACACCGTAAATCCATTTTTGATGCATCTATATCTCTGGATATAGGATCACTGGGACAATTGGATATCTCGCAATAGCAAAATATCCTTCTGTCTTTCTCTATGACCCACTTGCCAACTGTCTGGTATGTTACTTGAAAAGGGTAAAAATTCATCGAGGAGTGAGCGCTTTTTTGGATGCAGTCCATTTAGAATTCTATTCATACGCAAAATTCTCAGTGACGGTTGCCCATGTAGATCTAGTGGACCTCGTAATACATGGCCTAAACAAATAGACCAGGTGCACCATGTCCAAAGAGTACACACAGTCAACCTTGTGACATTATTAAAGCAGTTGGACAACTTGTGAAGCGCACAATGCATTGCGTAAATGAGAGACAACGAAATCCTAAAACATTGCAAAACAAAGAGTCATCAAGGCATAATTCGAGCACGTACATCGGCTATGCTTCTCCAACCTTGCTACGATAAATTACTGATGCAAATTTTCAACGTTCAAGAACGTGGGAGCGTGACGCTGTATAACCGTCAGGCACCTTGAACAAATTGTCATATTTTTGTATCGTAAACCTCGTCCAGAGATTATATTCAAATGCATGGAGGCTCTTTACAAGGCTCGTTTACCAGTATTAATCATGTCCGACGATTAAACGGTATGACAATAAAATGTAATTTTAAATCAAATAAAATCACATTGAGGTGGTTTAAATGTGTGGGTTACAAATGCGGGCATGTGCAAGCAATAGATACATATCGGGACCGCTAATTTTACTTCTACTAAATGTCCCCCATGGAACAAAGCAATTGTTCTATACAACAATCACTATTAATTACTCTCAGCTTCATATTTATTGACAAGTCATTAGTTGATGCAATATGCTGGTTCACTCATTCCACTTCACTTCATTCCGATTGCTATTAAAATGCGCATGGGAAGATTAATGTGAAACTTCTCAACGATGCATTGACCATTCCAATGCAGTAACTAAAAACATCCAATTAAGCATTTGTCAGTAAAAAAGTTGTTATTTCGACAAACTTTAAGTCAAACTCAATCTCATCTCTGAATCTCAACTAAGCAGTTACAACAAGCCTGCCTGAAACGTTGATAAAACTTTCTATTATGTGAAAATCGTTGGACTCGGTAACAATGAGGTGAAAATTAAACGCGATCGCTGAATGTTGGCTGACTGAAAGACCCCCCCCCCCCTGTTATCCACCAAAATTGATAGATAGAATATGTGAGGAGTGGATATGTGGGAGGTCATTGGAGAATACAAGACAGGGGGGATGTGCTTGGTGTCCGTCGACGACAGACGGCTGACGGGTTTCCAATGGAATCGAAATACATTGTTGTATACATTGCATTCTATCGGGGAGTTGTATGTACGTTGTTTAACACAGGACGATGAGGTCCATGGGGTTGGGTTGAGCTGTGGAGTGTGGGGCCGAGAGGGGCGAGGGGGTCTGCTATCAAGAAGGGGACGGCAACGTAAGGGGAATACAGCAACTGAGTTCGAGGACCTGAATGCAAACCTCTCTCGAGTACAGCCAGACCAAGGCGAATAAGCTATCGTTGAATGCAATGCTCTACCCTCATACATAATTTGAAAACGTTGCATTTTACTGATACATATATACTTGTTATTGCGCAAGGAACAATGCTTACGTATCTTGACGAAAGCACGGGAGAGAGGTAGAGTTCTCATCCTCGTCATCGCTCAATGCTTTTACATTTCGCCGTCTATCATCCAAGTAACGACAACTCCCGACATATTCCCCTCGCCTTTCCTCGTCAACACTTCTCGTACAGTCTATATAGCCCACGGGGATTTAAACTTTAAACGAGTATTCACGAATAAGAGAAAATGTACACAGAACAATAAAGGAAGAATGGGATGGTAATAAAAATAGGGAAAATAAGAGGTGTCGGGAGGAGTTGTAGATGAAAAAATGCCCACATACGAGATGGCTTGTTTTGTTTTTGTTTCTTTTCTTTTTATTGCAATATTTCTTCTTTTTTTTTCACACACAAGTGAGTTGGGAATGACTAACCACTGGATATGCATTCTGCATTTATCTCTTGCAGGTATAGGAGTGGTCTTAGTGACGGTGAGTGCAGTGGCATGGCGAGTGACCAGTCGAGAAAATTGCGGCAGCTTCTTCGGTTTCACAGGGATCTCAGCAAGGATTCCACCGGCGAGGCCGATGCATCCGTACGCGGCCATGATCTATCCAGAATTCCAGTTTAGAACACCACCACCGAGTTACCAGGTAAATATAATTGGGTCGTTTGGCCAGACAGGTTGATTATCCGTTTATTATTTGCTGTAGTGTTGGGTATGTTGAGGATAATTACCTTCACATTCGTTTTTGCGCCTCTCTGATTTTTTTTCATTGTTGCTTGGTGTCTATTTTTTTTTTTGTTTTAAAATTCTCATTATTTTCTCCAATAGGCGAGTATGCAGGAGTACAGACTCCGGCTTTTACTGCTCGACAGACTCCAGCCAACATCATCACCACCACCAACCTACAGATCGAATACAGCGAGTATAATAGCACCGTGTACAACACGTGAAAGCCGACCACCAAGTTACTGTGGCCGTACTAATGTCACTCCAAATGCAACACTGGCGCCGTCCAAGAAGGACGCTAATCTCGTTAGAATTGTTCAGACTGAGTCCGAACCAGTCATACTCAGTGGTGATCAAACGCCACCCGTGCAGGCCGCGGTTGAGGTACTCGCTCATCTGTAATTCATTCTAAAAACCAGACAATTAACATTTTTACGGAAAAACAATCGGTAAATGTCAACGTAAAGTGGTGGATGATGATTATCGCTGTGGCTTCCTGTGCAATAGTAACGAAAATTATCCATCGAAAAAATTTAATCGACCACCAAAACACTTGGGTATAAAAATTTTTTGGATAAAAAGAGAGAAGAAAATTGGAAAACCTTAACCGAGAAATGTTAAACCGCTGAAACGAAAGTGCACTTCACATCGGCCTCAGCCCGGATGTAAGTAATTGTGTGTCACATTGGAGAACATGATGCGTTTGTTGGGGCACAGGGAGGCGGACATTTGTTATGCTTTACTCCTTGGACAACGATTTAACGCTACGGTTGTCCTTAACTTGTCTCTGCACACTGTAGATAGGGATACAAACTTCCGCTCTTCCGTAAATTTTTCCAGTGCTGTATATTGCTCGTTGTGCTTCGTACCTGTGATTTTTTTTTTTTTTTTTTTTTTTCACTGGGCGTCGACAGACCATGAGAGGTGGGACGTTTGTCTTCGGCTGTGTGTCACAGATTCAACGGCATTGCTCTATTTGTTTTGTTCCGGTGAAATAGACTTTTGAGGCAGGGGAAAATAGAGTACACCGAGAGAAATTTTTGTGAGGAAATTCACCTGACAATGGCTCGAAAATTTTTCATTGAAATGCAGGAAACGTGGGGTTAAAACTAGAAGTGGAGAATCCACTTTTTGGGAAATAAAGTCTCGTGTAGATTTTATTCCTTTCATTGGGCAGCATTTTGTCAGCATATTAACGAACGTAGTTGGGCAGTTAGTGAAGAGAAATTCCCGTCTCAATAAATATGATGTATGATGGGCATTAGGCAATCTCATCCGGTAGAATTGAGGGGAAAATACTGTTTACCGGTTGCCCTTTTATCGTGACAAGAAAAATTATTCATTTCCGTCCGGCCCTTCACATTCATTATTTATATTTATAATTGAAAAGAAATTGCAAATTTCACTACGAATCAAATGAGTACATGGGAATTAATGATTTCAAATGACGGAGAAAAATTTTCAAAATTACCTCTGGACATTTGATTCAAAAAATTTAAACGATTTCATAATTATTCATAATCTTTCACCAGTAAATTTTTTCCATTCTTCTTCTCCGGGCACTCGTACCACATGCAAATTCCCCAAATTCTCATCTTTTTCTGCCTTTCGATGATACGAGATAGACGAGGGTAATATTACCGAATTCCACTATTTGAAAAAAAATTCCACTCGTGACCTGCGTTTGACTCCAATCCTGGTGACTTTTTTAATCGTATTTCAATCCCCAACCCGAAGTATTTTGCTATCGCAATAGGGTCATCGATTCTGCCAGATGGAAATTCAAATATTTCTGCGATAAAAATTCGATATACCAGCCAATATCGAGTTTGTGTTCTCCAGTGTGTCAAATACCACGTAAACTATTGTTTTTGTTTCGTTTGTTTTTTGGATTGTTCATTAAATCAATGTATACATTTTGGTTAATCTGGCTCAGGCAATTTCACATATGTCCTTTCATTTTAACGATTTATTATAATTGAGGGATTTGCTGAATTTAAAACCGAGTGATAATTGGAACAGATAGGCAGGATGGAGAAGAATCCTGGTTATTCGGGACTCCGAGTGTGCAATTAAAAAGCGTGAAGAAGAATTTCACGGTACGGTACATGGCCAAATGGTAGTGCAGTGATTATATTTATTCATTCTCAATGTTTAAATTATACAAAGTCACTGGGCGAGCCGCATAACATCTCACATCCTCTCGATTTTCAAAGTCACACTTTCTTTCCACGTTTTTTTCATACATTTTGTAAATAGAGGTCTTGCGACTGATAATGGCTTTTTTCTTTGCCGTTAATGTTTGGATAGTGTATTGCTTAGTGGAGGTATTGGGCGGTATTCAGTGAATTGCGTTGGAATTTTGCATATTTTGTAGAGTTTTTTTTTTCAATTACCGTCAATGTCGAGAGACAATTAGAATTTCAATGTGGACGACACCATTAACGCAATTGCTGTGAAGAATTACAAGTGACGAGTCTGTTTTTCCGACACCTCTCTGAAAATCGTGAGAAAAAGGTCAGTGAGATAAGGACCAGTGGTGGTAACTTTGTTTTAGTGTTTACATAATTTCGAGGCTTTTATGACAAGAAAGCCTAACGAGAGATTACAATCTTCTCCTCAGTACCACTTCCACTCGAACAATTGTTCTCGTAGAAACGTGATTACGATGGAAACGAGTATTTCTCTGTTGGCATTTGATATTTCGAATGAGTTTCAATATTTTCTCCAAGTGCCTGGAACTTGAACGTGCAAAACGAGGGATCGTTAATCTTATTGATTTATCATCTCGGATTCATAAATTGATGTATTTGAAATATGACATGCAATTCGTTTTTAAAATGAACGTTTTGTTTGTAGACTAACGTATGACATTCGGCTTGCGCTGTTCGATGGCGATAAAAGTTAACATTTTATGTATCTCGGTAGTTGTCTTTGGAATCTGATACCCCATAATACCAAACTCGCAATGCATACAGAGGTATGAATTAAAGAGGATTGACTGAAGTAGAGGCTCAGTTCTGGGGGTTGGAGTGACCCCAGCGGCATCGTAGTACTGCACCCCAAGAGAGGGAGAGCGCAACACGCAACGCTGTGGTGTCCATCAAGTCGACGGGGTGAATTTTATTTTCTGCGGTATGAATGCTTTTTGTTTTTCATTTATTTAACTGAAATTTAGCCGTCTGTAGAACGTGCGGAAGGGGGAAACCACATCTTGTGGAATTTCAATGGAAAAAATTAGTCAATATATTGAAGATATACCACTAATGAAATTATATTTTTATAATAAGCTAAGTTGTCGAATCGGCAACGCGCTTGACTGGCACGCGGATGGCTTGGGTTCGATACCAGCGTCAATCATTTTTTTTTTTTTCAAAATCATTCCAATTTTTTTTTTATAACTGGCTAATTAATAGAAATATTGTCTAAAAACTGAATATTTGAAAGTCGAAAAGATATACAGTGAAGTTGAAAAATTCGAAATTGTTGAAAAAAAATGAGGGTAATATGAACATCGAAAAATTCGAAATATTTGAAAAAGTATCAGGGTAACATGACAATCGAGGAGCTATTCACTGAAATTTTCACTGAAAGTGAAAAATTCGAAATTT